ACCATCTTTTATAGATTAGAAGTTTCAATTTGCTATTTTTTAAAAGAATTTTTGCATCTATGTTCATGAGAGTTATTGATCTATGATTTTCTTTTCTTGTGATGTCTTTGTCTGGCTTTGGTATGTGGGTAATGTTGACTCGTAAAATAAGTTGGAAAATGTTTATTCCTAGAAGAGTCGGTGTAAGTTGTTACTAGGTCTTCCGTAAATGTTTGGTAGAATTCACTTGTGCCATCTGGCCTGTACTTGTTTTTGTGGGAAAGTTGTCAGCTACAAATCGTTTAAATAGGGCTAGTCAGGTTTTCTTTTTCTTCTTGAGTGAACTTGGGTAGTTGTACCTTTCAAGGACTTTTTCTATTTCAACTAAGTTGCTGAATTTATTGACATAATTATTAATAAAATTCCATGCTGCTTTAGCTGCATCCCACAAAGTTTTATATATTCATTCAGTTCAAAATATTTTCAGATTTTCACTGTTACCTCCTCTTTACCCCATGGCACATTTAGGAGCCATTAATTTCCAAATGTTTGGTGACTCTTCAGGTATCTTTCTGTTAGCAATTTCTAATTTAATTCTGTTCTGGTGCTAGAATATACCTTGTATGATTTCCATTCTTTTAAATCGTTTGAAACTTGTTTTATAGCCCGAATTATGTGCACTTGAAAAGAATGTGTATTATGCTGTTGTTGGAGTATTCTATAAATGCTGAGTTAGTTGACAGTCATTTTCTGTCCATTTGTGCTATCAATTACCTGAGTGTTGAAATATCTAACTATAATTGATAAACTGCCTACAGCTATTTCATGTTTTTATTTCATGAATTTTGAAGCCCTGTTATAAATGTATTGGAGCTAGAAGATAACTGCTTTGCTGTTGGATTCACAAAAGTCAAAGTACAGGTCTGTAGGGGCCATTCAACAGGGCCATTTCTACAGAGAAGAAATTTCCCATCTCTTGCTGGAGGGTAAGTCCCTGGTTGACAATTCACAGGGGTTGCGGAGGAGGGCAAGTGTGTATGGAAAGAGGGGAATGTCCTGTATACGACTAGCCACTAATTTCACTGCTTTCCCTTCATGTCTCACTCCTGTCCTCCACAGTATTAAGCATTTCTGAGTCTGGAGCCAAGCTGGTTCCTTCTTGTCCTTAATGCAAGTAGTATAAATGGTCTCTGCTTCTGCTCTGATACAGTAGCTGTCCTCCTTCCATATTTCAAATTTTTATTGAGACCTCGTATTTACTGGTGGTTTTTCATCTGTTCTCTTTATTGCTGTGGTATTATAAATGTAAAAACTTTCTAGGATTTTAATACTGTCCAGAGAGATGTTTAACAAAAGCACACTTTCTAGTCCTTTCCCCTTAAGCATTTTGCTTAGCTGACTAAACCCTGAATGATTTTCATAGCCCCTGCCGATCAGTTGCCACACACTCCCTATATCTTAGCTTTTCCCAGCTCTACCTCTTGAACCTACTTGTTGGTATCACCTGCTCTCAGGTACCAACTCAATGTCAGTTTTACTCTCGCAACTACTTCGGGCATGTTGCTTTGGACTTTTCCTGGTCCTCATTACCTACGGTTCAGCCTTGCCCTCCATGCTGTTATGTGCCTTTCTTTTCAATGAAAGTACAGTGAGAAAGGTCATGGAGCTGCAAAAGTGAACGTCCATATTTTATCCCCTAACTCTGGCTATCAGGGTGGGGGATGAGACAGGAAGAATTAAAAAGGTTATAATTTAGAAGTGTGACTACAAGTAGTGATCACATATTCACCAGTATTTTGACTTTAAGATCTTAAATGATCCACACAGAAAGTAAATAGCACCTACCGAATAGGTAAGACATTTTTTTTTCATGTTTTTTTTTTTTTGCAGTACACGGGCCTCTCACTGTTGTGGCCTCTCCCGTTGCGAAGCACAGGCTGGGTGGTCCGAAACTGTTTGAGTTTTTTTTTTTTTTTTTTGCGGTACGCGGGCCTCTCACTGCCATGGCCTCTCCCACCGCGGAGCACAGGTTCCGGACACGCAGGCCCAGCAGCCATGGCCCACGGGCCCAGCTGCTCCACAGCATGTGAGATCCCCCTGGACCGGGGCACGACCCCGTGTCCCCTGCATTGGCAGGCGGACTCTTAACCACTGCGCCACCAGGGAAGCCCGGTAAGAATTTTAAGAATTGTAAAATTGTCTCAAGTACTCAACAAGTAATCTGTAACCTAGATTCTTTGCTAAGTTAGTGTTAGAATTATCAATTGAATACAATTCTTGAATTTCCAAAGCTCTTTGTTCAAGTCAAGTACTGGTAAAGGATCAATCCTAGGGCAACCCTTGAATTCTGAAAAGTAACCATTTTGCAACATATCCTTTTTTTTTTCATTTTCACATCTCTGAAACTGGGGTGTGTGTGTCTTAAAAATTAACAAAGTGTTTTCTCTTTGTCAGTCCACTGGCATCTTTAAGATCTGATGAAATGTGACACATCCCCTGTTGTTCTTCCTGCATTTTCATGCAAAAGTCTCTTTTTCTAATTTTTTACCCCAGACTGCCTTACTACAATCAGTGAAATGCTTCCCAAGGACTCTGATCACATTTCAGTTGTATTAAGGAAGGTAATGCTTAAAAGAGAACAGTAAAAGCTAACCATAATTAAAAACATTGATAACTTAAGGTATGTATAAAAGGAGACTTGGAAAAACAGGCTAATTTATACGCATTTGAAACTTGGACTTCAAATCTACCCTCTGGTCTCAGTGCACATGGATTCTTGTGATCTTATTTGATTCCAAGTCCCAGATAGATTATATACATCAGCCAATTAGAAGACATATATGATAAACAAGTCAAATCCAGAACAGATGCTCAGATCTAATCTTATAAGGGGAGGAGAAACTGGGAGGCATTCATCATTCTAGAGGTCACTGAAGCAGAATCACATCACTCGTGATGCCATCTTATGGTATCCAAACAAGTGAGTGTATTACACAATGCCGAAGGGCAGATGCTGGGTCACCACCCTAACCATTCCATGTGGGCTGCTCTGAGTTGGAGTCAAATATTCTGGGACTATCTCTTGAAGGAAGGCAAGTCTCAATCTGTGGCCCTCCTCCATTCCTTCTTTGAGATTAACTACATTTCCCCTAAGTTAACATGTCACTTCCCTGTTATCTATGTCCAGTTAACTGCTTCAGGTTACCTTCAGGATAAACCAGTTACAACCCCACCTTTTCAAGGTAATAAATATTGCATCCATATCCCCCCCCCACCATTTTTCATGTATGGATATTAGTCATTGGTGGATAACTGAAATATGTGACTGGGCAGCCTCCTGAGCACTGCTTGGGGAATCATCAGTCATTGTTTAGAAAATCAGGGCTGCAATTAGGAGTTCATTGTACAGTAACTTCCACTCTAGTTATGTATTTCCAATCACGTTTCTCTCAACTGTTGCACAAGCTTCTTGTTTTAACTTCTTGTTTTAGCTTAACCCTTTGCGGTGTCCTAGCTCCACACCCCAAGTGAATTATATGTGCATATTTTAAGCCTGGTCATCCCAAACATACTCTCCAAGCCTTCTCAGAGTTCCAACGAGTAAATTTAATCAGAGAACTGAGAAAATGCAGAAAGAAAAGGAAAACAGTCAAGCAAGACGAAATAACAATAGTTTAGCCATTAAATAAAGTCAAGGACCTATAGTTCCTCCTGAAGGGCTATAGATAATATTCTGAGCAATGTCCTTTGAGCTGTTTTGCAGATACTGAATCTGCCACCAGGTGGAAGAAGTTAACTGTATGCTGCCCACAAGCAATTAGACCCCAGACAGGATGGAAACAGAAGGTTGACGATGTTGACTCACCACCAACCAATCAGAAGAATGTCCACGAGCTGATCGTGTACCCCAGTCCCCCCTTCCTCACCCTTTTAAAATCTTTCCCTGAAAGCCATCAGGGAGTTTAGGCCTTTTGAGCACTAGCTGCTTGGACCCCTTGTTTGGTGCCCTGCAATAAATGGTGCACTTCCTTCACAACCCAGTGTAAGTAGATTGGCTTTATTGTGCATGGGCAAGCAGACCCAAGTGTGGTTCAATAACAATGCTGCAAAAACAAATGACTTTTTGGGGGTATATCAAATATTAAAACAAGTTAAGTCTGAAGAGAAAAATATCAGAACTCTCTCTCCTGACTCCTTTGTTTGGTTCAGAACATGGATGGCGAAGAAATTTAAGGGAATAAGAGAGGTTCAGTGTTGAGAGACAAATTAAATACATTTAAATATATTTCAACTTCATTTAACATGTTTCAACATGGTACCCTACTTGGCTTTAATTTGGTGGGGGTGTCATCTGAGATGGCAAGACCTGGAAGCACCCCCAACAGACTAGCTGTGCCCAGGAAAAAGAACTACTTACGTTCTTGAGCAGTTGCCTTGTGGGGGGGGGAGGGGTCCCACATCCTGTAGTGTGTGGGGTGTACTGCACGAGTAGCTCTTCTCCACATTCTTGTGAGGCCACAGGCTGTAGTATGTGTGTGCAATAACAGATTCCCATGCCCATTATATCTCCAACCACTCCCTCAACCTAAAACTAACATATTGTATAACCAGAATTTAGAGAGGGCTACTCAGGGCTGGAAGGAAATAGGAAAACACAAGGCACGTGATTTGAAGAGAAGCCAAAGTTCCAATTTCTCAGAATGTGAACAAAGGAAACATGTTCTGCTTGGAGAAATATAAGGTTCTTGCACTTAAAAATGCTGGGTAGGATATGTAGTTCTAGTAACACTGGCTGAACAGCAAAGTACAGACGTTTTCACTCTACCCATCTGAGGAACAAGGGCAATCAATTCACTGTGTAGCATAACAAAGTGCTTGGTAGTTAAATACTTTAAATGAATGATTTTCCAGTGAGGGAAATTATCTGAATAACCCTTACTATATCCTGAGAATATAAAACTAAGCGTGATGTTAAAAATGTTTAAGTCTTTAGAGTACAAGCATGCGATTGAAGACCTCATTCAATGGGGATCTTTCCTGTGGACCCGCTGGTGGATGTGGAGGTTGGAGCTCTGGCTGAAGCCCTTCCCGCACTTGCTGCACTCGTAGGGCTTCTCTCCAGTGTGGACTCTCTGGTGGATGAGGAGTTTGGAGCTCTGGCTGAATCCCTTCCCGCACTTGCCGCAGTGATAGGGCTTCTCCCCAGTGTGGACTCTGAGGTGGATGCGGAGGTCTGAGCTCTGGCTGAAGCCCTTCCCACACTCATAGCACTGGTAAGGCTTCTCCCCTGTGTGTGAGCATCGGTGGATGTGAAGGTTTGAACTCTGACTGAAGCCCTTCCCACACTCTCCACACTTGTAGGGCCTCTCCCCCGTATGGATGCGCTGGTGGATGTGCAGGTTGGAGCGCTGACTGAAGCTCATACCACACTCCCCGCACTCATAGGGCTTCTCTCCAGTGTGCACTCGCTGGTGGATGTGTAGTTTGGAGCTCTGAGTAAAGCCCTTCCCGCACTTGTCACATTTGTAAGGCTTCTCGCCTGTGTGGACTGAGTGATGAATGAGCAGACTTGAACTCCTCGTGAAGCCCTTCCCACACTTGTCGCACTTATAAGGCTTCTCATCTGCATGGACTTCGCGGTGGATGAGGAGACTTGAGCTTCTCGTGAAGCCCTTCCCACACTGATCACATCTGTAGGGCTTTTCTTCAGTGTGGTCCCTCTGATGAAGGACTAGCTCTGAGCGCTCACTGAAGTCCCTACCACACTGACTACATCTGTATAGTTTCTCAGCAGTGTGGATTTTCTCACCTGGGTGACCACCTGGGCTGGTGGTACGTATTTTCCCACAGTCATAATGGGTGCAGGGCTTCTCCTCTGTATGAGCTCTCTGATGACTACGACTGATCACCCATGATTTCCAACCACAAATGTCCTTGTGTTTACAGTCAAAGGGATCCAGGGAATCTTTCGACTGGCCAATCTGGCATATTGTCTCACCTCTGAATGAGGGCGAGACCACTTCTTTTACATCAGACACAAGTTTATTTTGAAGGTTCTCTGAACAGTGGTTGATGGGAGGACTTTTGCTCTCTGAGATTTTCCTCTCAGTGCTTTCTTCAGTTACAAACAGACTTTTGCTTTCCTGAGGATCTTGGGGCTCATTCTTACAGAACGTCACTGAGGAGTCCTGTGTGGCCATTTGGCTTGGGACTTTCAAAGACAAATATTCTTCACTTTCCATGTTTGTTAAATAATCACTCTGAAGAGTCACCAAACTGCTTTTGTTTTTGGAAATATGAGAAGATGCTTCTCCCCACTTTTGACAAGGGGGAACATCTAGTTCAGGGTTCCTGTACACTGAAGATTCACAATTTAATCCTGACTCCCAGTTATTGTACTGGACATCTCTTCCAATATTTGCCAGGAGGAAAGCTATTCAGGTAAGAGATAACCTAAGTCCTTTCTGTTGATTCTCCACAGAATTTTCATTCAAGTCTCCTAGGGAACAAAGAGAATTCAATGATAACAGACAAAGGGTAGATTTCAAGATTTCAGAACTGCAGTGCCTAAGGTAGCTAGCAAAAAGTTCAGTCTTGTCCATATAGTCATGTCCTTTGGGTTAATGTCAGGAAGGGAGAGGGCATGGGTACATATGACAGAAATCTTGTCTCTGCTTTTAAGTAAAGCCAATAAAAGTATTCATATCCCAGCCCTGCAGAAGGCTATGGGTCCCACATCCTTGCCACATTTCATTTCACTTTACTTCATTTTATTTTAATTAAATTTGCATTTAATTGGTAATCTAATAGGTGCTGGGGATACAAAGAAGAAAATAGAAATCCTTTTGCTTGACACACTAGAGTCTACTGGGAAGAAGGACAAATAGGTCAACAATAGCACGTAAGTGCTACCACAGATGCATGCGCAGCCAGTCACGGGAGCACAGAGGAGGGGCATTCAGCTCAAACCTCGGGGAAGATTTCTGGGAGCAAATGTAAGGAAAAAAATAAAGTGAAATGTGGAGAGAAAATATGACATGTTCAAAGGGCTTGGTGTGTACTCAGAGACCCCTCCGAGATGTAAAGCTATTAAAGGATTACAACTGGGTATTAAACGACTGACTTTGATTATAAACACCATCAGAAATGAGCAAGACTTTAAGGCAGAGAGAGAGAGCGCTGCTGTAGTGAATCAGAAGAAAAGTGATAAGGAGGATAGTTACGGAGAGAAAGGGAGAGATTCATTCTAAATCACATGACGACTGATTAAACTCAAAAGTGAAAGGAGGCACCAAGCATGATCCTCAAGTTCCTTGAGTGACTTAGGTATGGGGGTACTATACCATAACATAGGGAATCAATCTCCAAGGCTGGAGTGGGGAAGGGTGACAGATAACAAACTCAGAATCTGACTTGTTTAATTTGTGGTGTTGGTGGAACATTCTTGCACTGTTCAGTAAGCAGTGAGATACATGGGTCTGGAACTCCTGGGAGAGAACTGTGCTAGGAATACAGATTTTAGACTTACTGTAGACAGTCCCTGACTTACGATGGCTTGACTTACGATTTCTTGACTTTATGGTGGTGTGAAAGCGATGTGCATTTAGTAGAAACAGTACTCTGAATTTTGATCTTTTCCTGGGCTAGCGATATGCTGGACAATACTCTCTCATGATGCTGGGGAATGGCAGCAGCCACAGCTCCAAGCAATATGCCTATAACCATTCTGTTTTTCATTTTCAGTATAGTATGCAATAAACTTCAGGAGATATTCAACACTATTATAAAATAGGCTTTGTGTTAGATGATTTTGCCCAACTGTAGGCTAATTTAAGTGTTCTGAGCATGATTAAGGTAGGTTAGGCTAAGCTATGGTGTTCGGTAGATTAGGTGTATTAAATGCATTTTTGACTTAACACTATTTGCAATTTACAATGGGATTATGGGAATGTAACCCCATTGTAAGTCAAGGAAGATCTGTGGTATGTATGTTAGTCAAAACAATTAGCGTGAAGATCCTCATATTACACTGAAATGACAAAAAAACAAAAACAAAAACACAATAGTCTTGGGAAAAAAAGAAAGGTTGTCATCACTAGAATGCTGGGGAACTCCTAGTGATAAAGAGCAGATGGATGAGGTCTAATGGAGAAAGTAGAAAAAAAACAAATGCACAGCTCAAATTATGTAAAGAAAAAGCCTCCTAAAGAAGTAGGAGAAATTCTCAAGAAGTCCTAGAAATTCCAAGCTCAGAATCAACAATTATGAAGTAACAGAGGTTTATTCTGGAAAGAGGTTTATCAAATCATGTTAAGCATTTCTAATGGCTCAACTAGTTGCTGCAGCACCACTCTCCCAACGACCCTCTTCCCCACAAAAAATGAAATACTGGGAGGCTAAGGGTAGTGGCCTCATATAAAGCTTCAAAAACAAAATAAATTGTCCACCAAACAAGGACTCCTAATAGTATTATTTGGGCTGAAGAGGGCAGCAGAAGCTGAGGTAATGCCACACCTGTACAATGACAGGATTGAGGTACAAAAAGAAGCAACTGACTCCACATGTACCCAGGATAAAGCCTCAAGAAAACCTGTGAAGTGGAATTTCTGACAAGGAGGACACCCCAGAGCTGGAGACTGAAGCAGGGCATGTCCCAGATAACTTACTGGTCTGAAGAGGTAACCTCAAAAAAAAAGGGTCTACATCACTCACCATCTGGATTCTTATTAGATCCATCCCAAGCCCAGTCAGCAGAGGTGTCCCCTGTAAGTAGAACACGCATGCACCAAAAAGGGTTGAGCATCAGCTGAGGATGTACACTCCAGTATCATACTGTGAACATAAGACTTTTGGGGCTGGGGGGGGGGGAAAGACAATTGAGAAAACATAAGGAGACAAAAAAAAAATGTAGAAAACTAACATCAATAGAGACACAAACTCAACAAACAGAGGAAATAGAATTTAAAAGGTTCATAATTAAAATCCCAGAGAAATCTGAGGGGATATCACATCTAAAAAAAACGGGACAATCTAATAATAAAATATAAACACACTGCTATGAAGAATAATCAGAATTCTTCTAAATTAATGAAAGGATTGAAAAAGATGATAATCATAATATTTAAGATCTACTATGCTCATCTGAAGCACTCAGATACTGGTTGCATGATCTCATGTGAGAGGAACTATTAGGACACCAGAAGAAACCAAGGTTGAAATGATCAAGTAACTTGTGTCATAGCTACCAGGTGTCAGGCAGTCTGATTCTAAGGCCTGCAATCTAGATGGGCTGAAGAGCAAAACGAACATCCGGCTAAGGTGGAAGATTGAGGGGTACTCCTGGAATGAAGAGTAAAGGGTAGACAGATGCAAAGATAAAAGTTAAAAGCCCATCTTTTAGGAGTTCGATGAATATAGTGGAGGTAGAAGGAAGGGAAAGAAATGATCAAAGAACTAACACGAAAAAAATGTTTTCTAGAATTCAAGATTCAGAGGTCACTAAATGTGAAACCTCAGGACGTCAAGGAAAAAAAACCCAAACAAACCCAGAAAATGCTAAAAGCATCCAGACAGAAAAGCCAGGTTATGTGCAAATATAAATGAGAATTATATTGACAATGAACTACTAAACAGCAATATTGTATACCTCAAGTCAACTGAGCAATATCTTCTAATTTTGGAGGTAAAGTGATTGTGAAATTAGCATTCCATTCTATACCCAGCCAATCAAACATTTCAGTGGGAGGAATAGACACTTTGTCAGATTAGAAAGGATTTAAACAATTACTGAAACAATTATTCAGCAATGTACTGTAGCAAAAAATTTTTAAATTACTTTAAGAATAAGATGATATACAATAAACAGCAGTGAGCAAAGAAGGCAAGAAAACAGACAAGCTGAATCAATCGTTGATATATAAAAAAAAAACAATAATTAACCAAATCAACCAAAACTCTGTAAAACAGAATGGAAAGGAAAAAACCCCAAATAAAATATATCGTAAAAAGCAAGTATTAGTTTTAGGAAAGGGAAAAAACAAACAAACAAAAGGAACTGTAATCATATTATACTGTTTGACTCTGCAGGAACAAGAATTATGAAGTCAAAGCAACTAAGCATTAATCACTGATGCGACTGACAAATTCTTGGAAAGATGGGCATGTTGGGAGAAATAATGTAAAAGAGCTAAATCTTCATCTATGATATAAAGAAGTCAATACAAAATATTAAATATTGATAAACTGAAAAAAATTGCAGTATACCATAATATAATAAATTCAGACTATAATGAGGTGCCATTTTCTACCTGTTAACACTGGAAAAAACCCAAAGCATGGTGACACAGCTTGTAAGTGTAAATTGGTATCACCCTCCCCCCCAGAAGGACATTTTAACAATTATGTATCAAAATCACAAATGCATGCACTCAGCAGTCCAGCTTGGGGGTTTTATTCTTCAGATTTCCTGGCACAGCTGTGAAGTGATACTTGCTCAAGATTTAGTCACTGCAGACAGTTTGTGACAGCAAATGACCAGAACCTGGGTAGAGTGGAGTCAAGGGCATGAAAGAAAGTTTTCATTGTGCACCTTTTAATTTGCTTTTATTTTTATAGTATAACTTTAATCATTAAAAAACATTTAGTACATTTGCAAATCTTTTCTTTGCTACTCATGTAAAATTTGTTTTCTGCCCTTCTCCAGCTTGTCCAAAATCCTCAGTGTACATTTTTTCCCGGCTTTTTTAGGCATAGCTGCAAGTAACATTGTGCATATTTTAATGCTTCTTTTCTTAAAAATGTGAGTGCATTTATTCTTTAAAAAAAGGAAAATAAGTAACTGCATGAGCATATTTGTAAACATGAAGGCAAATGCCATAAGGAACAAGTGAAAGGATTCAAACTGAGTGCTTTGAGAAGCCACTCTGTGGCATGAAGAGCAGCAGAGCAGGGAGACTGGTTTGTATTATAAGCCTTTCAATAGGATTTGTTTTACCTAGGTGAATGTATTACTTTTTGTGCACAGTTTGCAAATTTTAAAAGTAGTGGCAAAAAGAAAAAGGAAAAAAATAACACTGAGAAAAGCTGTGCAGTTTGGAGCAGTTAAATCAGGGGGTGGGCTGAAGTTATTAAATGGCCAAAGGACACTGCTTCAACATCCCTGCTTCACAATACTTGGGAACGGCTGCAGAAATGACAGGTCTATGAAAATCAGTGGAGGAGGAACTGTATTAATGGTAGGTTTTATAAGCAGTAGTGAAATCTTGTGATAACTGTTTTTTAAAATATTTAAATATTATCAAGAATGAGTATGTAATAGTAGAAGACAATGCTGATGTAATGAGAAAAGGGGTCCTTTTACAGGGAGTTAATATGATGTAACAAAGATCTCTAAGACATATGATGTAA